CTCACATTGGAAATGTGAAACCAAGTAAATGCAGTAACTGTAATGTGCAGAGTGAGTCAATCTGTACAGGTACATTTTTTGCCTCTAGTATTTAACTTCTCTGGTACGGGAATGAGAACATGGATAGTTAGATTCAGCACATAAATAGTTAGGTTTGGATGTTGTCCAGACAAGATGAGACTTGGAGAGTGTTTAAAGGATATGAAGGTTATTTGCAAAGAGATGTTATATGCTAAATAGAATTTAAACTGTATAAAGTGGGGAATGAGAACATGAAGAGAATGGTGCTGAGTGAAAAACTAGTGCAGCCCACGAATTGTAGGTGTCAAGGAGGTCTAAGCCTTGTTGGAGAAGGAACGCTGGAGAAAGTGAGATGGAAAAAGTAGTAATGAAAGCCGAAGGGTAGGATGTTTGATGGAGAGACTTTGAATTTGCTCCAGTTTTTGATGTTGTTAGGAAAAGGGCAGGGCTACTTGAGTGGGTGGCTGAGATCATTGGAACTAAAAGATCATTAATTAAAGAGGTCAGAGATGTAGGTGGGTCAGAGACTGAGTGTTCAAATCACCAATTAACAGTAATAGTGGCAGAAGTGCCAAGGGAATCAGCGAGCTAGATACATTTGAAACTGATCAATGAATGCAGATGACGCAGAAGGGACCAAGGGTGACACACTTCAAAACAGTTTTGAAGGAACAAAAATCAGTGAACAATGATAGGGAAGAAGAAAGATACCCAGCCACTTAGACCTGGAGGGTTATAAGATAGGGAACAATAGCCAAACTCTACTTAAGAGCAAAGTAGCAAAAACAGCATGTGTAAACCACAACTGTGTTTCAGTTCATGCAATAGGTTGAAGGGACTGTTCAGAAAATAAATAAGACTGAAGAGGTTTGTCGGTGCATTCCAGAAGGCCAGATGGAACAGTGCTGGTAGAGGAGATAGGGATTCCAATTTTCTGCAGATACATATGAGGACAGGTATCCACCCATGACAATGCACAGAAAATGGGACGAATGACAGTGGCTTAAATTCCAAGACAAATCTCAGGGTACCCTGGGACTCTGGAGATGAAGAATTAAAGGAGAAATACACATTTCATTTTCACTAGAACTTCAGTTTGAGATCTTTAGATTTATATTGAATGATTTCACTCTAAATAGTACTTACTAATGTGTTTAGAATTATTGTTTTTATTATAAACACTTATGGTTGTGGTTTTAAAATCCAAGTTGCATGGAAGATTATAAATTGAAATGTAAATGTTCCTTTTATTTCAATTCACACACAGATATACTACCTTGAAGTAACTGTCTTTAGTGATTTCTTATATATTATTCCAAGCTCATAGATAATTTTCTCTAACAGTATGTGTGCATCTACAATACATTATTCACTTAAAAGCTGCATAGTATTTCTTTATGAGATACATGCTATAAAAGGGTAAGTGTAATATTTCCAAATTGTCCTGAGACTTAGAAGCATCAGGGCTAATCCTGATTAAGAGTATTAATCCTATATCTTAACAAAGACTAGTAAAGAACTGACTTAGAACAAATACATGATAGATGAGACTGGAAGTAACAGTCCTTCAGCGAGCATCTAACCTGGACAAGTGATTTACCAAGTTTCCCTGCCACGGTCACATGTTAAACAAGCAGAGGGTCAAAACCTTTTCTGGCGACAGTGGCACTGTCACTCTGAAGGAAGCATTTGTTCTGATGAAACTATTTTTTACTGAATTAACTGAGAATGAAATGATGATTCATCTGTGAACTGTGAACATTCATTGATCTCCTAGTGCCCTAGGAAATGGTATACTATTATCCTCTCCCTGTGAATAATTTCTATTTGTCTTATTTGGCTAGATTTATTTTCTTTATTTAAATATTCATTGCAGTGAAAAGCAACAACAAAAATAAAAACAGACATTTCACAGTAAAAGGCTCAGCATCTGGCACATTCTACAGCCACCATTTCTGCAAACTACTTTCTGTATATCTAGTCCTCAATTTATAGAATAGATACATTCCTGAAAAACTGATATTAAAGTGAAAGTGAGACTTCTTTTCCATTGAATTTTGTATGAAATTCAATGCCTCATAAAACCCACAAATCCATTGATTTTTTTAAATATTTTTAGAAGATTAGTTTCAAAGAAAAATACCCACATAGGTCTCCAATACATTTGTTTCGATTGAAGAATGATATATTTGTTACATTGATGAGCCTATTTTTGACACCTCATAGTCACCCAAAGTTCATAGTTAACATTTGAGTTCATTCTTGGCTTTGTATGTTCTATGGACTTGCACAAATGCATCATATCATGATAGTATCATACAGAGTACTTTCATTGCCTAAAAATGTTTGCTGTATCATCTATTCATCCATCTATTCATCCTTGACTCCCCATTCCAGTCCCTGGTAACACTGATCATTTTACTGTCTCCATAGTTTTGCCCTTTCTACAATGTCCTGTGGTTAGTATCATACAATATGTAGGCTTTTCAAATTGACTTCCTTCACTTAAGGATATGTATATTAATCTCCTCCTTGTCTTTTGATGGCTGCAAAGCTCATTTCTTTTTCAGACTAAGTAACATTCCATTGACTGTATGCACCACAGTTCTTTTTTCATTCACCTACTGAAGGACATCTTGATTTCTTCCAAATTTTGGCCATTATGAAAATGAAACAGCTTAACATCAATGTACAGTTTTGTGTGGAAATAAGTTTTTAACTCCTTTGGTAAATACCAAGGAGTGCAATTATTGGATCGTAAGGTGCAAGTGTGTTTAGTTTTGAAAGAAACAGTCTGTCTTCCAAAGTGACTGCACAATTTTACGTTCTCACCAGCAGTGAATGAACTTTCCCATTGTGCTACATCCTCACCATCATTTGGGAAATTTTTATAAAAATCTTGAAAGCAAGCAATTGTGTATGATTGTGTAAATGATTTTGCTAAGGCTTTTAGCAGACCAACTATTTCCCTCCCTTTCATTTTAGATTCCTCTGGATCTTTTTTTTTAAATCATTTTTTAAGAATATTTTAGCTAGAAATCCTCATACTCCATTGTTAGTTCCTAAGACTTGACTTCTCTCCTTCCTATAACAGGTTATATTTTTCTTGATTTTGAACATTTAACCTTTTTTTTTTTGGTAGTGTACCATAACACAGATGGAGAAAGACAAATATCAGATGGTTTCACTTGTGTGTAGAAAAAAATGAAATAAAGCAAAGGAATAGACAATACCAACCAACTAACCAAACAAAAAAAATTCAGAAATCTGACTGTACAATGGAGGCTACCAAATGGGGAGGGGGAGGGTGGACAGAAAAAGTGTGAAAGTGACTCAATGGATGATGGTGGAGGTCTGTGGGTGCCTTGGTTCTCATAGTAGTGTAACATACATCTGAAAAGAAATGAACCTATATCTCTGAATTATATACAGTGCTATATACCAAAGTCACCTTAATTAAAATAAAAAGTATTTTTAAAAGATTCTTTATTGTCTTTTTGAACCCCACCTACATTCTCACTCCATACATTTGTTTTTTTTTAATTTAAATTTTATTTTATATTCCCCATACAATTACAACCCCCTTATTTTTACCCCAATCCCCCCTTTCCCCGCCCCCCACCCCCATAGAGTGTCTCTTGTTCATAGTTGTTTGTTGATTTTGATATTTTCTTTCTTATAGTTATTCTTTTTCCTGGTCCCTTATTTAAGTTTTCTAGATTCCTGCTATGAGTGAGACCATGCGGTAATTTTCTTTTTCTTTCTGGCTTATTTTGCTGAGCATGATCCCTTCCAGCACCATCCATGTTGCTGCAAATTGCATGTGTTTATCTTTTTTGAATGCTGAGTAATATTCCATGGTGTATATGTACCACATCTTCTTGATCCAGTCACCTATTTTTGGGCATTTGGGCTGTTTCCAAAGCTTAGCTATTGTAAACAGTGCTGCTATAAACATAGCGGTGCAGGTGCTCTTTGGAATTGATGTTTCTGTGTCCTTTGGGTAAATACCTAGGCTCACTCCATACATTTGAATTAGTCTTCTGTACTGCTCTCATTGGTGGAGTATGTGACTGTCCTAGCCAATCAGCACTCTCAGGCCTCCTAACTATATTGTACATGGAGGTAGCTTGAAACTGCCAGTAACCACTGGGAATCTGCCCAAAGGGCTAATATTAGGCAATACAAATCTAGGAGACCTGCAAAGATTTAATTTGCTTGAACTGTCTCAATCTTAGTCCACTTGAGCTGCTATCACAAAATGGCACAGACAGAGTAGCTTATAAGAAACAAAAATGTATTTCTCAAAGTTCTAAAGGATGAAAGTTCAAGATCAGGATGTCAGTATGGTCAGGTAAGGACTCTCTGTGCACCACTTTTATAAGAACACTAATTCTATTCATGAGGTCTCCACCCTTAAGACTTAAGCACCTTATAAAGTTCCTATCTCCTAATGCCAACCTATTAGGTATTAGGATTTCAACATATGAATTTGGGGCAAACACAAGCATTCAAATATGAGCTCCCTTCCTGAACATGATGCAGGTACTTTCCTTTTGGTGAGAAAAAATAATTTATCTTTTAAAATCAGCATTATTTTTTGTAGGGTTTTTTGACCCTGGTAACTTAACTATTCCTAACTGAGAAAAGACATATATGGAGGCATTTTGTTCCTTAGCACAAACCCATAGCACCAGGCAATAAAAAAAGTATTGTGAGGAGGCAAATGAAGACAGGCTCTCGACTTCAGGTGATGTTAATGATGCAGTAGAAATTTTTCCAAGAGTTGGGATTTGGGAAGTGAGGTAATTGGTGTAGAGGGTAGTAGAGAGAGAAAATTTTGGCTCTATTCCCTAAATTAAGGAAAGTCAAGCTTTCAATAATCCTTGTGACAGCTAGCAAAGGCTAGGCCCAGTGGGGGCAGTGGGAGGGGGAAAAGTACATATGGATTTGAAATATTTTGTAGAAACATAAGAGGACATAACTTTCTAACTTTCGACCGTTTATTTGACCAAATGGCACAACTGCTAGTTTAATCCAACATGTGTCCTTGATGTTCTTAATTCAATTGTTATGAGGACCAAGACATAGCAATTGAACATCATGGTTCGTTCTGTTCTTCCCTTCCATCTTCACCCCTGATCCAAAGGAACAAAATACAGAAAATAATAATCAATAAAATTTGTACTCATTCTAATAGGCAGCTACAGTTGTCCTTAATTGCTACAAAGAGTTTTTATTCAGCAGTGTGTTTGAAGAGATAAGTTATTCCAGCTGCCAGGATGACATGAAGGGAGACATAAAAGTTACTGCTTTGGGTGCTGCTTCAGGCAAACCTCTTTCATTTTTCTTTTACTGTCTCCCAATCTGTCGGAAAGGGGAAAAGTATAGTTGCTGTTTGCTGGCCTCTTGCACTGTCATACACAGCTAACCAAGAAATAATATTTTTCTAGGTAATGTTCTTTCATGTTAGATTTGGTGGAATTTCGTGAAATCTTGACATGGTTTTGAAGTTCTCTTTAAAGATCCGGTGACTTTGCATTTACTGAACTCTGCTTTACAAAATCATATTCTTTCAAACCTGGCAAAAAATCTGCAGTGGCATTTATCACTTTACTCTTCCTAAACCTAAATAAGCCCAAAAAGTAGAAGTGAGCAGCTTGGCAAATTTGTAAAGTGTGGGAATATACGGATTTGCCTCACTTTACAGAAATATGCATTTTTGAAACTTTAATCAGTCTTTAAATAAACCCAATCCTATTTTTAAAATTCTTGGAAGTGGACTATCTAGGGGAATTGTGCAGCTAATCTTTTTTTGCATGTAAAGTGTATCCTTTTGTAATGCAAATATGCATGCCTGAATTTATCTGTTTTATTATCTAAAAGATTTGTATTTTATTTTTATGAATGGCACATTTATATTTTTATTTTTTAATGACTGGTAATTGTAATGGCAAAAATTTCTTCCTCAGTCAGACACATAAACTTAATACAAGGAGTAATATTTAATTCCCAAGAAAGGACCGTTTCATCTATGTTTCTGTTCTTTTTGAAAAATAAAAAGCATCTCTATACTAAATTTTTCCTGGTGCTAAAACTGTCAATAATATTAACATCAATAGTAAAAATAAATGACGAATTAGGGTCCTGCTTACATGACTATTGGCAAATATAGCTACTTATCATTTTTGTGTTTTTCTTTATTAAACCATTACAAACTACAAACAAAAGGAATAATTTCTTAAACTCAAATTTGTTTTTGTGTTGCTGCCATTGGTTTTTACTTTCATATCCTCTATACTTGAGAGCAGAAATTCAGAATCTTGAACACACACCCATGCATATACAGCCCTAATCAAGATATCATGTCACTATTTAGATACAAATGTCCAGAATGGAAAGAAAACAGACATATGGAAAAAATGGCTTGTGCAGTTATATGTGCCAGGAATATGTTTGTCATATCAAGGTTTCAGGCATCCCCTAGTGAGCAAATACAAAGGAAGGGCTGCCTAAGGGTCTCTGGAACCCAGGAGACAGCTTCTGCTTGACATACACAAAAAGCCCCTTCAAAGCAAGAGGAAGAGTGGTCTTTGTGGGCTGGGGCAAAGAAAAATGTGAACAAAAGAAAGTGCTGTGAAACCATAATTTTAGAATTAACTTAGATAAGGAAGAATGTGTTGGATAAATTGGGTCTTACACCAAAATAAATGAAATGCTAGAAAAGAACCTGCATTCAGTATGCAATAAAATTGCATATACCGTATACAATACAAATTCTTGAGACTTTTATATGATGCGGGCATGGACATTCTGAAGGGCTAGAACCAATCTTCAGAACATGAAAGGGTGGGCTATTTAAAGTAATCCTTCTGAATACTATTTTTCTAGAAAGAGATGTTAGGGTCTTTGGTCTAGAGTTAGTATAATAAAGATAAATTTAATAAATAAATTCATTCTTATAATATGTATCTAATCTACTAATGAATCTAACACTCAACCCTATAAAATCATGTTTTCCCATAGCAACAATATGGATTTTCTTCCTAACAAGAAGAAACCTAGGGGATTTTAAGTTTCCTCATCCTGACTTTATCTTCCTATATGTATTATGTTGACCCAGGAAGCATGCTTAGTGCAAGAAAAAGTTATAATACAGAGCAAATAGCAACTAGATATTAAACTTAGTATAGTCATGTTCTACCTTTTATGTGTTTCTATTATGTCTCATTCTACAAATGCTTAAAATGACTTCCAAAATTACATAAACAGAAAATATCATAAGTGTGATGAAACTCATGTGTTTTGGATTAGATATACTTAACTTGATTCATTGCTTGAGCACAGTAGGGAAATTATTGATTATGAGTTAGTAGTAGACAGAGTCAATAAACCTCAATTATGCAAATAAATTAATATGAGAATATTGATTTGACTGTTTATACTTACATGTCAAACAAAAGCAGATGATCTTAACATTACTGGTCCCAGTGACTTAAAAATAAAAAAATACATAAATCTAATTATATACAGAATAGGTAACATCTGTATAATGCATGTATATAAATCACTAGTGAGATTGAGAACTCTCTTATTAGGAATACTCTAGGGGAAATTTTTTAAGTCATTCTAGGAAAAGAAAATGTTTGTGACGTCAACTCTTCAATATTATTTCTGACTTTCATTCCATCACAGGTGTTGATGGGATGTAACACATTTTGTTAATTGACTTTTTTCTTCTGTCTTCATCTATGCTGCTTGCATTATCTGGGCATTTAATTATATTTCTGTGGTATGACTGTTATTTTTGACAGCAGACTGAGCTGACCATTGCTAACTTTGTGTACGGTTTGACTGATTCTAGAATAATCTATGCTTGATTCTCTAGAGATCGGACACTATTATCCTGCCAGACTCAACCCTCAAATTTACGTGCTGTCTAAAAGAGAAGCCGTTCCCCCAGTGAAAAGGCTCCCCTAAAGGATGTCTGCAGCTTGACACCCCTCCCCACGGAATGCTGTAACGTTAACTCACACTTCCCTCAGAGGGAAAGCAATTCAAAGGTAAACAATCAGCTACCTCTCCCAGACATCCGACACGTTATGTACAAAGTACCCTCAATCCTGGAGGCTATTTTGTCAGCCTCGATCTTTAAAGTATATGGCATAACGATTTAAAAGAGCCTCCCGACAAGAGCATGGACATGCCTCAACCTTCACTTGGCTACATTTCAAAGAAACGGCACTGGCCATCTGAGCAGCTCTGCTTTATATTCCACAGAAAAGACAAATCTTCCAAACAAGAAAAAAAAAATCTACCAGACTAGAAAGCATTATGACCTGAGTGGTCTTGTTAACGTAGCACACCCCAGCAATAAGGATTCTCAGTCACAGAATGTGGAATTGAGGTGTTAATTCTGTTTCCCCTCCCCCTCCCCCCCTCCTCTTCATCTCCCTACACCCCCTTAATTTGGTTTTTGCATCTGAAGGAGAAAAACCTATACAGTTGTGATTTATTTGGAAGCTTAGGGTGATACCAATGAACAGTTTATGTTTTGGACACTTCGATAGAGATCTGCCCTTAATAGGTTGGTAGTTCTCATTTTCTTCAGCTGAAATGCAGTTTTGTATTTTAAAATCATTTATGACAAATGCTTTGTTAGTGTTTCTTTAATTCTGTGCCATTTTTTCACAACACAAGAAATTGGTTAAATGTCTAGAAGGTGGTTTCTTCTGGATGCTAAAAAGTTTTATTAGTGCATCAACAGTTTTTTTTTTTTAATTTTATCTCTACTATGTAAACACAAATACCTGAGTATTACTAATTGGACTTTATTTTTCTACATGGGGCTTCAGGGTCTTTATATAGGTTTTTACCTATTAAGAAATATATTGGAGGGGGCTTCCCCGGTGGCGCAGTGGTTGAGCGCTGGGTTGCGAAGCTGCCCTCAGCCTTTGCAGCGCCGGTTCGATCCCCGGCTGCTCCCCGGGCCACCGGAGGAGGGTCCCACATGGCGCGCAGACCTCTCCTGCCGCCCGCTGCTCCCCTCAGCAGTGTACTTCGGTCCTTCTGCCTGCTCTGCTCCCCGCTTTGGCTCTGGTGAATTCTCTCACCCTCCCGCACTTCTGACTGTACCCAGTGCTTGTATAAATAAATAAATAAATAAATCTTTAAAAAAAAAAGAAATATATTGGAGTAAATTGTACTTAAATAGGAAGAGACACATTGAACTACATGATTCTGGTGTTGGTCGCTATCTTCAACAAAGGGGCCCTGACAACTTTCAGTTAGTATGACCAAGTATATTTTGGTCCCACTAGAATTCTCTTGTGTGTGTTGACTTAGTTCTTGTTCCATACTGTTTGGTCGAGGTAATAATGACTACCTCTTGCTTCAAGGATTCTATGTGCTAGTTTTGGTTTAAACACATGTACTTGTTTAAAAAATGAAAGTCTTTATATATGGAGTCCCCCAATGTCAATAGAAGATTTAGCCACCATCGATATTCTGCAAAGCCTTTTGAAAGTGAGCCATTTGATATTATGCTCTTGTTTCTTTTTATTTTTTTTTTCCTGTGAGCTGAGGATTTCCCTCCTTCAAGGCTGTACAGTAATCCTCTGTACTATCAACAATGGGATAGATGCTTTAAACTTTTAAACTTCTTTTACCCAAAGGATAGTTTCTTATTTAATGCCTATGCTGAAAAGAACCCCTCCAAAGGCCCAATTTCCGCAGGGAAAGCCCACAAAACTCACAGAAAGGTCATCAGTAAATTAAATAATAACACAGTTTATTAGATTCAGAGAGGTGCAATGAAAAAGATGTGACTTTTCAGGGCTTTGCCCTGGTTCATGTTGCCACTCCTCACTAGCAAGTTATCTTATACAATGCATACGTTAGATGACTTGGCTCCCATTTTATAGGGATTGTGAGATATAATGCAGGCCCAAGTGGCTAGCGCATTAAGCAATTTTGAACACATGGCATTCACATGGCATTTGTAGTAGGGACTTGTGAACTGGCAAACTGGCAACAAGGGAAACATAAACTGAACCTCTTGAGAAAGAGATAGGAGATGGGAACTCTGCTTGGACTTGCTGTTTAGCTAATAAATCACCTCACATAAAAGCATCTTTCCTAGATTAGTGCTGTCACAAGGGTGTTGGTCCTCAAATTCTTCAGGGTAAGTTGGAAATAGTCCTAATTCTTGACCTGGAGATTCTTGATAGCCATTGTAGTTGAAATTGCACTCCATATCTGATCTCTTCCACCTGGAACTAATGTCTAGGGAAACTATGGGACACTAAGGCTAAGGGAAAAACTTGAGAAGTGAGTAGACTTATATCTTTGTTTAAGAATTTGCACTGTATGCGGTGACTCACAGCCACCACTTTGCTTTTGTCCATTCTCCCTGTCACACCTCTCTACTCTTTCTTTACCTTCCAATCTTTCCTTCTCAAATACTGTTTTGTTTTGAGACTTTGTTTATGAACTGAAAATAAATATTTCAGTTGCCCAAGGAGAATAATTAACTATAGTTCCTTATTATTCACTTCTTGCCCAACACTTCCTCTCCTTCCTGGGACTGACCTTTTTCATAACTTTTTTCTTCCCTTTCAGTTCCATTTTAGACTTTCAGTGAACAGTTTTTTATGTCAGTTGCTAAGACCTATAGACCAAGAAGAAAGAGTGATCTTCAAAGTAGATCAACAGCCATTATGCAATCCCAAGAACAATAAAAAAACAGAATGAAAAATGTCAGCAAAATAAGTCACACAATTAAGAACACCAGCATATGTGTAATGATTGAACTAAGAGAAGTGAGAGAGCAAAGAGTGGAAAACAGGGCCTCCCCAGTGGCACAGTGTGTTGAATGCAGCGCTGTGAAGCTGTCCGCAGCCTCTGCAGCGCGGTTCAATTCCTGGCCGGCCAGGGAGATTCCCACATGGCATGGCAGACCTCTCCTGTCTCGCCCGCTGCTCCCCTCAGCAGTGTATTTCGGTTCTTCTGCCTATTCTGCTCCCCACTCTGTCTCTGGTGAATTTTCTTACCCTCCCACGCATCTGGCCTGTACTCCAGTGCTTGTATAAAAAAATAAATAAATCTTTAAAAAAGAAAGGAGTGGAAAATATTTAAATAATCACTAACGTCTGACTTTATGGGAATCATGCTGAGACACACATCAGAGTAAAACTGCTGAAATACAGAGACAGTGTTGAAACAGCAAGAGAAAAACACCTATCATGAGTGAGGAATCCTAACAGAATAGCAATTGACTTTTATCATAAACACTGGAGTCAAAAGGCAGTAGGATGGTCTCTTCAAAGTGCTAAGAGAAAAAGTCTATTGGCCAAGAATCTTACATCTCGAAAAACTGTCTTTCAAAAAATAAAAACGAAATAGATATTCCCAGATAAATAAAATATGAGAGAATATATTCCCAACCAACCCGCCTTGCAATAAATACTAAAGGAATTTCTAAAAGCAGGTGACCACAAACAACAATTCAAACACATACACTCATGCAACCACCCCCTATAGTTCCGATAAAGAGAATTATGTCATCATAAAAAAACAGAATGAAATATATGTTACTTTTATTCTTTTATTAACTGGCTTAAAATAAAATTTTATAAAACATTTTTTTATAATTTCATTGTGGGCCCATAACATATAGAAATGTATTATATTTCACAATAATAACAAAAATAACATGGAGACAGGGGAGAGGCTGTATTGGAGAAGGTCATTATCACCAGATGGTAAATCCACAGGAACAAATAAGGAGAACCAGAAATCATAGATAAGTGCTTATTATAACAAAGTTAGACAAAGCAGTGGATAGATATTTTTAAATAGATACAGATATTAAAGGAGGCACAGTATACTAATATGGAGGACTAGGAGTGCCTAGGAATGCCTAGGAGTTGGATGTGCTATGTGTGCATATGCCTGAAGAGATGGGATCCTATATTTTTGAATCATAGCACTTTAAACCAAATGTTATCTTAATTAAAAAAAGTTATAAAAATATAAATAAATAAAATTGCCACAAAGGTTGCTAATTCTTTTTATTCTTAAATTTTATTTTTAATTTTAAAATTTTAATACACATTTATTTTCCAGGTTTTTTTATATTTTATTTTATTCTATATATTTTTACATCATTTTTTATTTTTGCACAATGTATGCATTTTCATCTTGGTTATATTCCCCATACAATTTCCACCCTCCTTGTTTTGATCCTACTCCCTCTCTCCCCATAGTGTTTGTCTGGTTTATAGTTGCTTGTTGATTTTGATTTTTACTTTATTATAGTCTTTTTCCTGGTCCCTTATTTAGGTTTTCTAAATTCCTGCTATGAGTGAGATTCCTCAACCTGCTAAAGATGGAGCTTCCATATGATCCAGAATTCCACTCCTAGGTATTTACCCAAAGGACACAGAAACATTAATTCAAAAGGGCACCTGTACCCCTATGCTTATAGCAGCGCCATTTACAATAGCTAAGCTATGGAAACAACCCAAATGCCCAAAAATAGATGACTGGATCAAGAAAATGTGGTACATATACACAATGGAATATTACTCAGCAATCAAAAAAGATGAACTCATGCCATTTGCAGCAACATAGATGGAGCTGGAAGGGATCATGCTCAGCAAAGTAAGCCAGAAAGAAAAAGAAAATATACCAGATGGTCTCACTCATAGCAGGTTGCTAATTCTTAACCATTGCATAGTATACTTAACCATTGCATATTATAGCATATTTCCAGTCCATCTGTATATTTTTATTTAACTACATCTCAGATAGCAAATAGCTGATTCTTCTTTTTTATACATCTGATTGTCTCTGCCTTAAAATGTAATAATAAACTGCATTAATATTTAATATACTAATTGATATATATTTTGGTTAACTATTTAGTAAACAGTTTTCATTCTGTTCTTCTGTGCTTTGTTACCCTGTTTTCCTCTCATATGTTTTGTGAGATGATTTAAATATTTTTAAAATTTGTAATTTTTCAATTGCCTTTTTAGCTATATTTCTTTGCATCTTTTTAGTTGCTTAAAGATTTTTAATATATCTTTATTACAGTCTAACTAGAGTAAATATTGTACTGCCCCATATAAAATACAGGATCCTGTTTATTCTGTCCACTTAAAATCTCTTATTCTATGTGTTATATAGAATAAATTTAATACATACAATCCCAAAGGAAAAACGTTTTTTTGCTTTAAGTAGTTCTTTAAACTTTAAATAAATGTAGCATGAATGTGTTCTTTATTTTTTTAATTTTTTTTAAAGATTTATTTATTTATGCATATAAGAACTGGGATACAGGCCAGAGGTGTCGGAGGG